GGAGGGGGGGGGGAGGGGAGTAAAGAACTGATTGAATGGGCAACTCCTTTTTCACAGACAGAGCACCATGTGAGATCTCCCAGAAAAAAGGCTCAACCGCAGGGGAGACAGCCAAGAGAAGTCCGGTCCGATTCCTTTCCTCCCTCAGCCCGATCACTAACCCTCACCTTCCCGGCCGGACATCTTGCCCCCTCCTTCACTCTCTCCGCTGCAGCAGGACCCGAGAAATAGGCGCCTCTTGCACCCGCCTGTTCCAGTCCTCACCAAACCACGTGACCGAGCGCAGCGCCACCTGCCGACGCTGCAGCTGCTATTGACCGAGGCTGTGACCAGGTGGCTCTCCCTCCCAGGTGATCCCATTGCTCACCTGAAGTCTGGGTCCCTGAGCAATTTTGGCTTTCAGCAGCCGCCATCTCTTTGGTTAAGCTCCTGGCCATCTTCCTTAATATCTTGCTCAATGACAAACTTGTTTGATAAAACGCTGCGTGAAGCACCATGGATTTAAAAAAAAATTCATTTGCAGGCTATGGGTGTCACATTTATTGACCCTCCCTAATTGTCCAGAGGGCAGTTAAAACTCAACAATATCCCTGTGCATCTGGAGTTACGTTTAAGCCAGACGAGGTAAAGTTACCATCCCCAAAGGACATTATTGAACTAGATAAGGATTTCCTGTCAATCATTTTTATGGTCATCATCCAGATTTTAAAAGAAATTCAAATTTCTCCGTCTGCCATGGCAGGATTCAAACTCAGGTCCCTGGAATATTAACAAAAACGGAAGTTGCTGGAAAAAACTCAGCAGGTCTGGCAGCATCTGTGAAGAAAAATCGGAGTTTGCATTTCGGGTCGGTGACCCTTCCTCAGAACACATACCCACAGTACCGTTAGGAGAGGAGTTTCAGGATTTTGGCTCAGCTGTAGTGAAGGAACAGTGACATAATTCCCAGTCAGGATTGTGTATAGTATAGAGAGGAACTTGCAGGCAATGGTTTTCCCCAGAATTTTACCTGAATTTCTGGATTAATAACTTTACAATAATACCACTCGGCCATCACCCCTTTAACAATGTTAAAGGCACAATATAAGCACTGTATGTTGTTTATCTTGAAACACTAGGTTTCATTTATGGTAACAGAGATGTTTGAATGATCTGATGGAGGAGATTTGGAAGATTTGCAACATAACAGTGGATTAGTGTTATTGAATTACAGAGATCTAATCTGTTTCAGAAATACACAAGGAAACATGGGCATTATATTGAGTAACAAGACCTAATTTCAGAGCTCAGACAGATTATACAGACAATAATAGAAATCTGGCACTGAGTTAAAGTAGTCTGGAATATTAACTGATGGAAATCTTTGTCTTGATACAACTAACAAAAAAAAAGATTGATTTCTCTGCTAATAGGTTGTCACAGTTATGTGGTTTAACGTTCTTAATGATTTTTTAACTGCAGAGTGGTGTAACAGACTACAGGGATCAGTCTGGTTCTGAATTCACAATGCACAGTGTGAAATTAATGGATTGGGACTGTACACATTAAAAAAAAATTGTCCATCCCTAACTGCCCTGGACAAGTGGTAAATGGTAATTATAAGTTGCTGCAGTTTTGAGGTTCAGGCATACCCACAGTGTTGTTAGGAGGGGACTTCCAGGATTTTGGCTCTTCTATAGTGAAGGAACAGTGATATAATTCCCAGTCAGGATTGTGTTTGGTTCAGAGGCGAACTTGCAGGCAATGGTTTTCCCATGTGTCTACTGCCATCATCCTTCTAGGTGGCAGCAATGACAAGTTTGGAAAGTGTTGTAAGAGGAGTCTTCATGAATAAACGCAGAGTATCTTGTAGATGGTAAACACTGCTGCCAGTGATGGAGGGAGTGAACATTGAAGGAAGTGAATCGGGTATCATTTATGCAGCTGCTTTGTCCTGAATGGTGTTAAGCCTCTTGAGTTTTGTTACAGTTGCAATTGTAACATGAGATTTGAACACACAGAAGGCCCAAATACCATAAAGTGGAAATTCTTCGTTCCTCTGGAAATGAAAGGAATCCTTTGTCTGTCCCTTCCTTCTTCTCTGAGCCCTCTTTCCCCAAAGCCATCTTCCTTTCCAGAGTCTGTTCAACCGATTTGGCTGTATTCCCTCACCATTCTCACTTGTTAATGGAGATTCCAGTTCAACTGCTCAAGCTCCCCTGCTCAGTGCTGTCCCTCACCATCACCACCTGCTGCTAGAGGTTCCATTTTGCACGCATGAAGGAAAACGAGCAATATTCAGTCACACTCTTGATGTGAGCCTTATAGATATCAATCAGGCACCGGGAGAAAAGAGACGAGTCACTTGCAACAAAATTCCTATACTGTGACCTGCTCTTGCAGCCACTGTATTTATATGGCTGGTCCAGTTCAGTTCCTAGTCATTGGCAATCCGCAGGATGGTGATACTGGGGGATTTAGGAATGGTAAAGCCATTGAACACCAAGGGACTGTGGTTAGATTCTGTCTTGTTGGAAATATTCATTAGCTGGCATTTGCATGGTGTGAATGTTACTTGCCACTCAGTCCAAGCCTAGATGTTCTGCAGGTTTGGCTGCATTTGGACATGGACTGCTTCAGTATCTGAGGAGTCACAAGTGGTACTGAACATCGTGCAATCATCAGCGAACATTCCCAATTCAGACTTTAAAATGGCGGGAAGGTCATTGATGAAACAACTAAAATAGTTGGGCGTAAGACCCCTCAGGCAAGAGGGGTGCTTGTGGCTTAATGATAGTATCATTACTTCTGAAACGGGAGATTTGGGTTCATGCCCCACTTGCTCCAGAGGTGTATAATAACTTCTTTGAACAGGTTAATTAGAAACATCTGTCTTGAGGGGAAGGTAGGTGGGATGGTGATAGGTGAGTGCAGGTAGGCAGTGGTGGGGATTGGTCAGTGAGGTGGGAGAAACGGATAGGTGGGACAGAAGATGGACAGGTTGTGTCAGGTCAAGGAGTCGGGGATGAGAGGGAGAGTTGGTCATGGGATGAGGCTGGGGGTGGGGAGATTTTGAACTGGTAAAGTCCACATTGAGACTGTTGGGTTGTCGGTTCCCAAGATGGAATATGAGGTGTTGTTCCTCCAATTTCCAGGTGGCATCATTGTGACGCTGGAGGAGGCCCAGGATGGACATGTTGCCCAGGGAGTGGGTGGGGGAGTTGAAATAGTTCGCGACTGGAAGGTGTTGTCATTTGTCACGAACAGAGCACAGGTGCTTTGCAAAGCGGTCTCTGAGCCTCCTCTTGGTCTCACCGATGTAGAGGAGGTCACATCGGGAGCAGTAGATATTTGCACGGAGAAACAGCCATATAAATAGATGAGGGATAAATAAATAATAGAGGCTTGAATGAAGAAAGCTGGGAGGTGGTTCATGTGGGGCATAATCATTCACATGGACAGTTGGGCTGAATGGACTATTTCTGTTCTGTATCTTCTCTGTGATAATGCTCAGGACCCTGATAAATTACTGCATAAAAACGTTGAGGCATCCATCAAAAAAATGATAGAAAATACCAAGGAAGGATCAACATCCAGACTTCTAGGCCAGAGGGAGCTTAGCTCTTCATGGGCAAAATCTTTTAGACATATTTCCAAAATGACAGAAATAACTTTATGGACAAGTGCAATTTTTCTTTTGAATAGTTTGGGATAAATGTTTGTTGTGCTGTTAATATTATTCCAGCAGTATATAATCTGAAGAATCATACCAGACATGAAACATTAACTCTTTCTTCACAAATGCTGACAGACCTACTGAGTTTTTCCAGCAGTCTCTGTGTTTAGATTTCCAGCATGTGCTTTTATTCCCTGGATATAGTTAGCTGGCTAAGAAAATGATATAATCACACAAGAAAATCCAAAATCATTGAGTGACTTGTTTGTGGGTGTCTGACAGATCTGCTTCATGATGTGTAACATGGAAAATAATTGAGAAATTTTATTTTAAATTAGGGAGCAAAGTTGTTTCTCAACAGACAACTTTTAAGAGATGCATAGAGTCATATAGTCATACAGCATGGAAAGAGGCCCTTTGGTCCAACACATCAATGCTGACCAAATTTCCCAAACTAAACTAATCCCACTTGCCTGCATTTGGCCCATATCTGTCTAAACCTTTTCTATTCATGTACCTATCCAAATGTCTTTTAAATGTAACTGTACCTGCATCTACCATTCCTCTGGAAGTTTATTCCACACATGAACCACCCTCCATGTGAAACGGTTGCCCCTCAGGTCCCTTTTAACTCTTCCTCCTCTCACCTTAAAAATATGCCCCTTAGTTTTGAATTCACCTGCCCTAGGAGTAAATACATTTAACCTGTTTTAAGGGGTGCTGTTTCCTAAATGGTGAGTGTAGGTTTCACTTTCTGTTGGATATTCCTGGGATATTTATAGAAGAATGTGATGGTCATCATAGTAATTATTGGTTATATGGATCAACTGCAATTTTTGAAATCTGAATAACCTGAATAACCTTTAAGTTTGACGCTGTACAGGTATAAAATGGATGCAAGATTTTCACATAAATAAATATTCTGCATCCTACTTTAATTTCTCAAATGGCTTTGAGAAAGGGTGAAAAAATACAGTGCTCTTTGTAAAGATATGATAGTTGTGGTGGTTTCGTATTCATAAGGAAATGCTTATTTGAATCCATTGAACCTCGAGGTGGTGCTGTTGTCTTGTTCATCCAAAGAAATGACAGGATAAAATGATCATGTGCTATCTGGTGGATATATCTGTAATGCACAGCTACTCAGAAACGTACTCTCATATTTATATATATATTTAATGTCTTTTTCTCCCTGTGGTTCAATTTTTCTCTCCAGGCCTCCTGGAAAGATTCAGTTCCACGAAGAAACTGTCGAACTGTGGATGCTGTAAATCAGGAACAAAAACAGAAGTTGCTGGAAAAGCTCAGCAGGTCTAGCAGCATCTGTGAAGAAAAAATCAGAATTAATGTTTTGTGTCCAGTCACCCTTCTTCAGAACCCTCGGGTTATCGGACCCGAAACGTTAACTCTGATTTCTCTTCACATATGCTGCCAGATCTGCTGAGCTTTTCCAGCAACTTCTGTTTTTGTTCAGTTCTATGAACACTGGCTAGCACCTTGTGTTTCACTTAATTATTCACTCTGCACTTCTGATAAGAAAACATACAATTATTTGACCAGACAGGTATCACAGCTGAAACCTAATCAATGCTCAATTTTTAATTCTTTGAGGAATGTGAGCTTTGTTG